TCCAGAGGAAAAATATGCTTGTGAATATATCCTTAATTCACAAATGTAGAGTGCTAGATACATTGGTTAAAATGCCATATATGATTGAAAGACATGTTTGATAACAGTTTAGTAGACAAATACAGACTCAAAGCCTAAAATTAATGTGGGGTTACACAAAATTCATGTGGAGTACACCCATGTTACCATGAGACGCATCTACCATTTTGCACATAAAGGACCCAATCCCATTTCAAACATAATTGTGAATAGTTTGAGTTGTAACAGAATACAATCGTCGTTAGTTGACAACATAATAACCAAAAAAAATTCAGAACATGCTTGATTTGGGTTATATTTATTATGTAGTAATTGAAAACCAAGTCATCAACATATGTTTTTTTGGAGCATGTTGTCTTGATTCGAGTTATATTTAATTCTGAAATAATTAAACACCGCATGCTGTCGTGATTTGAGTGATATTTAATTATGTAGTTATTGAACACCAAGCCATCAACGAATTATTGTCAGTTGATCAAGGGAAACTTTGCAGATTTAATTTTAATCATCTCTTTAAAAATCGTATTTTAATAAGATCACTATTACAAAAAAAAAGTCATGTAACGTGATCAACTCCCCTTTAGGCCTAAATGCTTTAAAGGGTTTTGCCTCAAAGTTTGAAGTTTAAAAATGTTCAAAAGTTTGCTGTTTGATAATGATGTTTGTAATAAAATAATTATTAAAAAAACAAGCCTCACTTTAAAGGTATCCCTTACTGAAGCATTCCGCCAACACCAACCATTGGTCAACAAAATTGCCCAAAAATTGAGCAAAATTTAAACAATATAGTACCCAACATAAGACTTTTGCTTAGTAACCAATAACTGAGAAGTATAACCTACAACTTGTCCAACATTACTTGACCATTTTTCGGTTAATGGCTTACCAACAATTGGTTCTTTACATTTACCCAACCAATGGATGATTAAAAGTACCCAACTGTTCCGTCTGCAATTTTACCCAAGTGTTAGGTAAACGTGTTTGCCCAACGGCTACTGGGCATTTTTCGCTCGTAAAATGTGGATGTTGATTATTGTATCAATGTTGGGTAAAAGTTGGGCAAACTTTGACCCTTTTTTGTGCAAGTGCAGTGGTACGGGTCAAGCAATCTATTCCATCGCGATTTTTGTTCATCGTTTCCGATGTTTTGGACGGAGTGATAGAAAACTTAGCAAATCGTGGAAATTTGCCAAGGCGACTGTTACTATTGCATATTGCCAATGCCAACATAAAAATTAGCAGCGAGGTTAATCACATCAACAGACCCTATACTGAACGAGAGTACATGCAACTTCCAGCCATTCTGATTTGAACGTATATATCTCCTTCAAGCCTACAAAGGTCAAACGAGGTCGGTACCATAAAAATCCCCACAAATAGAATAAATTATTGGTACTGTACGGTGCAGGGTGAGTAAAAAAAAAAGGAAACCCAAATGGTGACACCCCCCCCCCCTTGTTTTTATAAAGAAGTTCTGCATGTAGCGCTTTCCAGATCTAGGATGTCAAAGCCCAACTAATAAGCTTTCGTACTTTTGCATGTCGTATCCTGAAAATGATATCAGAATAATCCCATAAGTCTCCGGGGTAGTCAAGTAGAAAGCAGTGCAAGACTATGAACTCTTTTTAAGAATGCTATTTTAACAATGGAAACAGCAGGTTTTTAAACAAATGTTATGATAAGTGCCAGTTATGCATGGTTAAGGTTATGAGAGTGTTCTGATGTGCTTTTTCTATATGTGAATAGTTCGTTTTGCTGAAATATCACTTCCTTTTATAATAATAATTGTGATCCGTGTGGACAAGGTTAACTGCATGTGTTTGTGTTTTAAATTCCATAACTGCAGAAGTGGGATTTGAATGGAAAAAAACCCTTATTATTTGGGCTAGGGTTAGATAAAATTGAACGCGCTACACGAAGAGCTTTTTTTTTTTTAAATATGGGTTGCCAATTGGGTTTCACATGATTTTTTTTACTCGCCGTTTATAGTCGGATATTAGTGTTATGTGGTTCTATATTCGCAGTAAATGTACATTACCGAACTGATGAAGCTAGTAATGAGTCCATATACCTTTTTATGCCTTGCTATTAATCTGAAGTGCCTTACACGTAGTGAAGTATGACATTGATTACCAAAGAAAACATTGTTTTCAATGAGGTTTCCCATTTTTAACTGATATTCATTCCTCCAGATTTCAAGAACGTATTTCTATTTTAATGCCGCAGAACGTCCGTTGAGCTGAAACTGTGACGACTGAATTTCGCACCGTCTTATAAACATTCTTGCTATATTACCATTGAGCAAGGAAATGCAAAAGAAATAGGCCTATGCGTATTTGTGCACAGACTTATCATAAATTTTATAAAGCAATAAAAAGTTCCATAAACGCAGGCCGAAGCCAATAATAGAATCAAGCACATGTCCATAAAAAATTGACGATTTTGTAAATGCCAAAGGTCATAATGATTAAGTGGTTTATTTGCAAACCAGATCGGAGTCCATAATGTAAGCTCTAGGGGGTTGTTGTAGACCAACACACTTTGTTTTGTAGCTTCATAGGCAAATTTTGGGCAAGTACATGTACTTACACTGCTTTGCACACCAGGGGCGAGGAGCATGAGAGGTGCCATTTCTGGCAAATATTGTATTTCTTTTAATATTGCAATTTATGATGTGCAGTTGTGCACCAGGTACGGTATGGGTCTACCCGACTGTCCGCATTGGACAAAGCCGGAAAACTCGGCAGAACTCATTCCTATAGTATATAGACCATGTGACATTTGTTTACATATTTGGATGTTGTGGTCACGTGATGCCGCCTTTCAGGAAACTGTTCTCTTTTGAACTACGTGTGTATCTCTTGAAATGTCATTTGGAGTAATAGATGTTGTCATACACTGTTTAATGTGGGCAAAATAACATGCATGGGTTGCCCGTCGCGTGCCCGTTGGTATATGGCGTCACAGAACACATGGCCTACAGGTTGGGTCCGTCAGTTTTGCGAGATGGCCGCAATTGAGTGCATATTATTTTATTTAGCTTTTTTTTTTGGTGCATGACTCTGAAAGTACATTGACACTACACCCGCTAACAATATGCTAGAAGTAACCTTTAAACGCATTTAGTTGAAAATCCATCAACAGCTGTGACTAAAATGCGGCGACAATTTAATTGCATGTACAGGCTTTGTTTCAACGGTCAAAAACTGATTTTCATCCTCGTCAGTGAAAACCGTGTTTCACCCCCCCCCCCTCCCCTCCATACTTGTATCCCGCCTAAATGTTAGGGGTCGCAAATTGCAACAGGAAGGAATTTGACTTATTGCCCACCCACAGATATTCCCCTGAGTGGGCCGATCAGAACGTGAGGAAGACGGAGAAAAACGAACTCCACACACCACTTCCCCACCATGGTGTTAACTAAAATCAATCTATTAATTGACAGCCAATATGGTTCTTATAAGGCTGCGGCAGCTCATGGGTCTTAGAGAATCCCTAAAGTTTTAAACTGCAATTTAAAATGATATGCATAAATAGACAGGACTGTTTCCAGTGCTTACACGAATTAAGTTCGTGCAGCAGTGCTGTTCTGGTTTTTCTACGTGCCAAAAAGTCAATCCTGTGTTGAATCAAGCTAAAGTAGTTGTAAGTATATGCGGACATTATTTCAGCACCAACATCCTGTAAAATCACTTTGAATTCATCAACAGGCCGACATCCATTTTTGTGTGTGTCTATTTCATCATTGAACTGATTCCATGTAGGCCTACTTGTGTCTTGTAAAATATTATTATTATTATTATTTATTCGACCTCAACAAAGAATTACAAACAGTGAAACAAAACCAAACAAAAATTACACAAAAGTGGTTGAAAAACGCACAACAACAGAAACGTATAAACATGTAATTTAAATTATTAAAAAATCATGAAGTAGAGGGCATGCACTTTAAATGACAGCTGGAGTGGGCTTCCCAATTGGGAGTTGAACAATAACCAGTAAGACACAAAAAATCACAAAGAAAACGATTATGTGGGTCAGGGACCGCAAAAGCGAATCTAATCACTGTTGCTCAGAAGCATGCGGACCCGCACATAATGATAAATGAACAGGACAAAAAAAGGCAAACAAATGCACAAGAACAAGATTACAAATGACAGGGAAATAACACGGTTTCGCAGGCCCACGTATATAGATGAGGGTTTAATGCTCATTTTATCTGAAGACATTGCATTTCGATTGGACATTTTCACACCCATCCACACGAGAGTACGTCCACCTCCCACCAGTTGGAACCCCAGGTGGATAGCTCCCCACGCTGATTAGGCGAGAGCCGATCTCCCACAGTTTCAGACTTTTTTCCGGAAGGACAGAAAATGACATCATAAATATTTGATAGAACCGTTCGGATAATGGTCGTCACAGCTGCTGGAAAATTGTAGGAATTTTGGGTGGACATTTGGGACATTTAGGGAAATCGTGCTTAATGAAAATCACCGTCATGAGTTTGTGCGCTTAAAAAAAATATTGGAAGGGGAAGCTGAAAACCCCGCCCCATCCTCCCGGGGGGGGGGGCGTTGTAAAATACTGCTTGCTTCCTCACCATTCGCAAAACGTTAATGAAAGTTGAGAATACCTTAGGCATATTGGCTTGATGACCGCTTAGTTTTTGTGTGCTTATAACATTAACACATGCCTACTGCAATTGAACAAAATGACTTTAATAAGGGTCTATTTTTTTTGCCACGAGCTTTTGATTCGAAAGCGCCTTGACTGTGAAGGTCAACATACAATTTTATGTGACGACAAACGCTGAAAGGTTGACGTTGTCAGGTCAGGACCTGCATGCTCAAAACAGGGCAAATCTTTCGATATCTTATAAGAAAAAGGAGGGAGGGGGCAAAAGGAAACTAAAATTGTCTTAATAACTTCGATGAACTCCCTCCATGATTTGCACTTACCGTTCTTCCCCGTCAGCTGTGATGTAACTGCTCCGGTACCACCCAGCAAGTTTGTCGTTCAGCTCGCCTGAGTAGTTCACCTTGATCTCGTAATCCTGCCCCCTCATCAGACTTTCTTTCAGCGTGATCACGAGGAAGTCGTACTCTTTGTCGAACTCGTAGCTCTCGAAGAGGTCCTTTGCGTCCACGCCGTCTCTCAGGGATGTAACCTTAGGGGGTTCGTGGAGGGTCAACTCCAGAGTGTGCAGGGTGATGGTCTTGGTGGGTTTGTTACACTCCACCTTGATGGTCACCAACCCGTCAAAGGTGAAGTTCCTGCCCATTAGAGAGTCCTGGGCATCATCGGTCGTGATGAATGGCTGCAGCAGCACGTTGTACCGCTTAGGGATGACGTCCAAGGGTAGCCGACCCTTCCAGTCCTCAGCCTTCTGTCGTACCACCTGAACCTCCCCGCCGTTGGTCTCTTCGGACAGACTGGGGCTCTCCTCCTCCCCACGAGGGGCGTCTGCTCTACTCTGTCCAACAGCAGGTGCTGGGGTAGCCTCAGTGATATCCGCGCACCTGTCTGGTACGTAGTAAGCCAAGAGCCCCACGCCAGTGATGATGATACAAGCCGTGATGAAGACAAATAGCATCTGTGCATGGCTGCAGTACATGCCCTTACGGACGGGCTTCCCCGATTCCTTGTCAATCTCTAAAGTCCCGTCCATGCCCATGGTGACTGTTACTTTCTTAACACTTCCTGCAAGAGAAAACACATCACCAAAATCAAAAGTAGTCAGCAAATTCCCGGTTTACAAGAACTACCTGAGAGAAAAAAAGACCAAGAAAGTACTCACCAACAACAGAAACTAATGGAGCACTGCCGCACAGTACGACTAGAGTGTGAACCTGGTTCCTAGTGTACTAAACAAACTGAGATCGCAAACACGCAGTGTCGTGCACACATGCAACGCACACCGTTCGCTAGGGGCGTGTTGTAGAATTTGGACCCTGATTATATTGGGTTTAGTGCTGGATTATCGCCACCCACCGGACCAACCTAATCAACTTATCTCGAGAATCACTACTCGTTGGTACAGCCCGCCGTACGGGTGACTCGACAGCGCGGTCTGCTGCCACACCATGCAGTCTCGACCTTCATTCCTTCAATTATACTTTATCAATATAATTCGCAACGTTGTTAACTTTGATCTCATAAAATCGGCTTACGTTTTTAATGGGAGTGGCATATGGATACATGCATTGTGCCAGACAAGCAGACAGAAGGGGAAAGGAGTAAGACAATTATCCGTGCTTTTGTGTTAATTTCAAAACCTCCCCTGTATTCTTCATCCACTGTAGTTTCACAAAAAAAACCTAGACTTATTGTATAGCAAATAGGGATAGTTAACGGCGACATTGACCAGGGGTCACCTCGGCTAAGTCTCTGAAGAGTCGACGACAGTATAGTATGAGAAAAACAGGTGTACAAGTATGCTTTCTCAATTATTTGTATGAGTTATGGTTGCTATAAAACGGACTCACTGTGTACAGGTCTTTATTTTGTTCTTCTGTGATACGCATGAGAGTATTATACTATGTGCATGTACATGTACTTCCAGTGTATCTTGATTTGATACCCGTCCCCAATGAGGGCGCACTCTGCAAGGGGTCGATCTGCTGCCACTTCAGCCATGCAAATCTCGATACAGAACGTAACTTGGCCAATGTACCACTATTTAGAGGCATAGTCTGGTCCATGACTTCCCGGACCCGACGATCTCTTGACTTCTCTTAATAGATCGCGGATCAGGTAACAGTTCAACAATAATAGAACATGACACATTAATGTCCGACCCTCTTCCGAGTGCGGCATACTCGAAGCACACTACAGCTAATTAAATATAGGTGCTCAGCATATACACCTTGCATTGTATGTTTTTTTCTAACTTAAAATAATGGGGATCGTGATTTCATGAAAAAAGAAATTACGTTAACGGGTGTAACAATTGGCATAATTATGTCAGGCATAAAATACCCAAACTATTGCAAACATGTCCCAGCGTCAATAAAAACGTATTTGGAAAACTCCCACCTTTTCGGAGATTAGCAACACCTGACAGATGGTCGACAATGGTCAGAATCTTTCGATCTGGGGACCAGACTCTAGTACTCTTTAAACAGCGTTTAATTAGAAAATTTTGGAGACGAAAGAGCAACACTTGTTTTCCTCAAAAAGTCCCTTACCTGAACTGAAAACTTATCGACCTCCACCTAAAATACTCCAGAATTGGAAATTCAAAACCTGGCCGATTAAAAACCAAGAATCTGTGCTCCTAGGAATAAAAACCTTCTCCAAAATAATAAGCAATAAACTCCACCGGTGAAAACCTGTTCTAAATTATGTGCACCAAACATGAGCCAATACATGCCCGTGATTTAAAATGACCGCTAACCAAAAACCAATCCACAACCGAGACAAGTTTTAAGACAAGTCTTATTTTACCATGATCCTCATGGCTGATCAGAGGGATTCCTTCGGAAGATCCCGAATACTCCAGGGGAGGCTGCCATGACGGTGTTCCCCTTAGAAAACATCTGAATCAGTTTTCATTAACAAAAACAATATAACATAAATTATGTATTCATATTTTTTTTTACAAAGTTTTAATAAGTTAATCACAAGCCAATCGCAAGTCAATCACAACATTACTCTGTTCCAAGGTAACAGACAGAATGGTGGCGCTATTTTACACGGACAGTCTCCCTCTCTTTGCCGTGCTCGACACGGTCCATTACTTCACTGATGAGTTTCCATCAAGTTAAGTCGCGTCAAATATTCTCAATGTAGCACTTTAGTACACAAATCATAACCTGTCATGGATTTTAAAGTTTGTAAAGACAGTAAAGACAATAACCAGTAGGCCTAGTTTAAACATTCCGTTCATAGTTTCTTATATAACAAAAATGGGCGCTGTCGGCAAAAAGTAATTTGTGAAACGCCCACACCACACCCTTCTGCCTCCCCTGACGTTGGTCTGTACAATAGTTGCCCGATACTTTTCTATCATTTATTTAAGTGATAATCTTTCCTGTCTGACATCATCAACAGCTTGTGTGCGTTTCTATTAACAAATTTGAATCAATTTAATTGCCTCTATCATCGTTGACCTTGTGTTGGGGATCCGTAGCTGTCTTGCCTACTTTGTAACCCCTGCCCCCATTAGTCACGCTGTGGTGCCGGCCCCCTCCCAAACCCTGCCGGCCAGATCAGCCGTGTGCTAGGGTCACTAGACCGACAATCCGGCGGACTTCTTCGAGTGACTCACCCGCAGTATGCAAAACGAAGACTCGTGAACAAGGCAAAGCGGCGCCTTAAAGCCGCAGTCTTGGTCATTTTTTTTTAGCCGGATAATATCATCCTTTAGGCCAGATTATTGAAGTGTTGTTTATGTGAGGTGCTTGAGATACACCAAGTAAATCTTAACCTTAGAGTCTTTTTTTAGATCTATTTTTTTAAGACGAAGAAAACAAAGACGACTACTCTTTCACAGCAAAATTGCATGCTTGATTTTTTTTCTTAGTAACAAATATTTCCATAGTCTGTACCTTTAGCCGTGGCAGATTAGTTTTAAGGAGGTAGAGTTTCCTTCCTCCAGAGGATGATCTAACCTACTTTTGAATGCTGATCCTTGGTTTAAACAAGCTTTGCCACTGTCTTGGAGTCATCTTGGTTATTTTAAAGTCACTTGCCCGAGGCTCGAGGCGTCATGACACGAGGTCAACTTTCTTCTCCGTATTTAACTAGTCCCGGATTTAATTGGCCTCCTTGCTAAAACTGGGGAATTAGGTCTGAGCCTACATGAATGAACTGATTATCTTAATACGCAGTTCCATTCAAGTTTAATCTCATGATTCCATTGGTGATTAGAGTTAATCTTCGAGCTCAGAAGCAAAAAAAACAACAACAACATATTTGAGATAAACGGTATTTTCGAAAGCTCAAAATTATAGTCAGACATACTCGAGATAACTGGAAGGGTGTATGAACTGAGTTTTCTTAGGCACATAATATTTTGTACAACTTTCCGCTCCTCTTAGATGTATGAAAACTATTTTACATCCCTTGTTGGTTAATTTTATTGGAAAGTGCACTGCTTTAAACATTCAAAATTGTCCATGTTTTTCTGGACAACCGAGGGCGCTGTTGCTGTGATGTGATTTCAGGAAGACGCTGCTCACTGTTCAATTTAGGGGTTTTCTGTTCAAATTGCGAACCGAAAAATTTGCTCATTGAAAACATCTGTGAGAAAAGTTTGCTCTGCTTGTACTGACACAACAACGAATCACCAAAGAAAAGAACATGTAGGACAGCAAAATATCCGAAATACTGGTGCTGAAATAGCTGTATAGTAACATTGAGGTTTCTGCCTGAAATGACATCACACTTTTGCTCATGAATAAAGCAACTCGCATTAGCATAAAAACCAAAAAGGGACCAAAATACACCCGAAATTGGCAAAAACAAAATATGGTTAAATGTGATACAAAGGTGCCTTTTCAAGGATTGCATTAAACAAAATACATTTTGTGGGCCCTTTACCATTTACAGAGCATCTAGCATGATTTAAGCCAAGATGAGTATTTATCCCGACCAATACATACAAGTTTTGCTTAATGTTACTGTTAATGTTTATTTGAAGAAAAGTCGCGAGAAAGAGATCATTTTGTTTTGGATTCGTGATCAGGCCTTTGAAATAATTACACGGAGCGTTCATTTTCAGGGTTCTCGTTTCGTGGAGGAGGTTAATGGATTCTGCAATAGTTTCGATCAATATAAAGCCCCTTACTCTCCTCCAAAGTCAGAGCGTGGGCACACAGGCGCGGCTTGGGGCACACGCCTCGAATTCAGTAGGGGGGGGGTACCCCCGTGCCCCGCACTATCTGACGACAGTGGCGTATAACTACCATATTTTGGAACAACTTGAGATTTCTGTTTACATGGTGATGTTCTTATTTTCTTGGACGACGGTGCAGTAAACTCATGTCTCCGTTGTCTGTTGATGAGTAATTCTGACCGAAGCCTTAGAGCTTAGAACCAACTGACCTTTCAGGCCTTTGAGATGTGTATTACTTCCGATATGTCACGCTAACCCCCTCCCTGGGCCGATAATGAAAGATCGGCCCTGAGTCCAATGATGAAAATTGCAACCTTCTTGGATGATCTGTTGACAGAAACTAATCCTACACGTCAGGCCCCCGGTAAAATAACATCATTATCAATATACAGAAATACAGAACGTACATTTCACAAATCAAAGAGGGTTAAAGCTGGAATATCCTAAGATAATCCAAACGAATTAGAATTTACAGACAAGATAATGATGTCAATATTAATTCGACAAATTCGTCATTTGTGTAAACACAAAGTGGGTCACCTTGTATGGAGGAACAGGTGTTTACAAAAAGACATTTTAAATGTTAATGCATGGTGATGTGAAACCAAGTAAATTAGTAAAATATAATTGGAGAAAAGTCAATGCTATACCAAGAAATACATTACAGCCATGTAAAACCAAACTCAAGGTCATAGAACTGCATGAAAAGATGCTGGCTGTTTCAACATATGTGGCCTTGTAAAAATATCAACGAAGCGTATTATATTTCAAACGGAAATAAAACTACCGATTAATTAAAACTATAATACCAGCATTTGTTGTGCGGGTAGTTTTGTCACCGCTGATGACAAAATGGCGACAACATCATTCAGATTATCAAGCTCCAGCAAGACCAGCATGTTGATGATTGTATGTATAGAACCATCATGTCCGAACTTCTTCATTTTTTTTAAGTACGACTCACCTTAACCTCGTCCACCACTCGGCCATTGAGTCACCTCAAACCGACTCCAATCGTCTCATTTGCAAGAAAACTTTCAGCTTTACTACATCTCCTCTACTGAACAGACCTCAACGTTAAGTGGCATGCTATCGTGACCAACTAAGTGCACTTTACAGATAATGGACAAACTGGTATGTCACTCAAAATGCCAAGTAAATCGAAAATCCAATAACCGGAGATAATTAGTTTTCCAGTAGCATGCTGGTATTTCTGGTAGCTTTCTTTGGAAATATCACAAGGGATCAAACTGAGATGAAAAGCGCCCTCTGTAATGCAATTAAGGACAATGGCAGGCACAATAGCAATGTTGCAAGCAAAGTGTCCGACTTCTTCTTAGAAATTGTTTGTAAGTACTTGCGTCAAAATGCACAACAAAATGCGATAATTAAACACTCATCTCCTTTTTAAAGTTGCATACTCTGTGACCTTCAAAAATTGATGATCTTCTCCGAACGAATTTTTAATTTATATGCTTTGTTTTAACGAGAGAAAATACTTCATTCCGATTTGGGCGACTGCAACCCTCTGAAAAGGGGCTTCATTTTGTGCACAAAATGGACCCGCCCTACGCGAGCCGAGTTATCGTCTGGCAGCCAATAATTCGAAATCTGGGAAGAAGTAATTCAATATCTAAATGTTGGTGGATTCTGTCGTTAAATGTCTCATTCAAAAGTGAACTTACTTTTATATTGCTAAGAGCATAGCAATTGAACGAGTTCGATCGGATCTCGGAAGCTACGGGCCAACGAATGCGATGTTCATGCATGAGTCACGTGACTGTGCCATGTAATTTTTGGAAGGAGTAGCGTTTTGAGTAAAAAAACACAGGTTTTTGACCCCATGACGACCTTTAACCCCAGTTTGGTCATGCGACATGTTGGGCTGGACTTTGGTTGAAATCGGTCAAATATGTAGCAAAACGAGGGAAAAGATAATGTCAACTTTTGTTACTAAATAACGGAGTAACGGAGAGATATGATGATTCGATGAGCTGCTATCCCGCAGCTAAAGAAAAGAACAAATCTATTTTTTCGAGGTGAAACTCTAATACTTGAGCACTTTCCGAAGATTACGAAACGTCGATTTTTTTAACTAATGGACACCGCCCTCTTCCTTTAGCGCTGTCGATTAAAATACAGAAATTTATTAAAGCACACACAATCAAGGCCGCACAACATAAGCGTACCCCTTACATAAAACGACAGAACACGTAGGCCTATGCAGCAATTGGTTATTTCTTTACGAAGACGGAAATCCCAATGCCTGATGACTAAACTAAGCTAGTCTTTTCCGTAGTTTTTTTTTACACTCCAAACACGCCTCGCCTTGAAATAATATCGGACCATGACATTAAACGCACGAAAGGAGACTAAACATCCAGGAACTGATTGAACTATGACTCAAAGTGCTGACCTGATCAAATGCAAATAGAGATATATGACATTATTCAAAATCAACAAAAACACGCCCCTAAAGTTGGAACGTGATGTTTTCACGTTCCAACAACCCTAGACACTAATAGCATCCTCTTTAGTAGAGAATGACATAACTACAAACGTAGTATCTCATTTAAATTCATGAAAAAAGGTAACAAAATCTCCCCGGTGAGCAGGCTGCACGTGGAAATTTATAATCACTATTGGACTAGTTCATTAAAAGAAGGGGTAGATCGAAAAGTAATAAGCGGAAGAAAAATTTAGTAGGAAATTGAAATCCATTTGTATACAAAGAACCTTGACCACTAACTTTTTCCGTCGCCAGTATTTCGTCTGCCGTCCTGTACGTGGTGATGGGCTAGCCTCGACGCCTGTGGTAGCTGACTACTTTTCGGCTTTTGCATTGTCCTGCGATCCTCGGCACACGATAATTTCCACGCTTAGTAGTAAACACCGCCAGAAAATCCCCCGTCTAGGACGCAACACCATTTTTACCGATGCTGGCGTGTCGTGCCCGACGCACCTTGCATACTCAATCGCAGAGTAGCTCCACCACGCGCAAGGTCTGTACCATAGGGGGATGTAGGGAAATTCAAACACCGCTGGCCAGTTCCTGAATGACTAGTCTCCACGGCGGAGCGTAAAGAGTCCTTGACACGCTGTGCGAATGGGAAGTAGGGACTAAGCCGAGAGAAGGGAAGAGGCAATCATTGCAGAGGGTTATCTTTCCTGTCCATCGCTCTCTCTTGAGGCGTCACGGTAGTTGGTTTAGGCCGACTGATCTCTTCCATTCTTAGCTCTCGGAATTCGTCTTATACCCCAGCCAAGAGAGAGAATGAAGGGGCGAATTCACGGTGAAATCTGTACACACCTACCAAACTAGTTGTCGAGTGGAGGCGATAATTATAACGTCCCGCACACTCAACACACTAGCTCATAATGCACCTCACTTTGCACAGGCGTTTAACAGGTGCGACGATTTGGGCGCATCACGTCATATCCACATTTCTTGAAATCTTAAAGTCATGCGATCGAAACAAACAAACATACGGTTCGTCCTTCCGGCTGGTCTTTATTAATTGTGAATTGAACTTGAACTATGCGTCATTTTGTCCCCGTATAGCACGTCTTTCTTTTCAAGATGACGCCAGCCGCATGACTCGCACAAGGTTGCGTTAATATGTCAATTCCTTGTAGCTTTTAATAGAACTTTATAGATATTTTGTTGCTCAGCTTTATTGTCCAATTCTGTTTAAAATCAAGCCATCTGTCGCTTAGAATATATAGCATTGTCCAACCTTCACCAACTTTTCGATACACCTCTTCACAGCTCAATTTTCCAGAAAGTTACCCCATCTGCACGTTCCACAGGTTGATTTCATTAGCCCACAGGAAAATGCCTAGTCAGTTTTGCCGTCATGTTGGCTTGCTTCCCATTCCTGTGACCTTAACATAAAATCTATTCCCATCAATGTTCCTTCCACTAATTTCCCAACACTTCGCTTGCTATACTCTTGTGGTTCCACACTTCCCCATGATGGTGACAGACGTGGTCGGAGTGCTCTTGATTATATTCTTATTATATATAGACCATTTGTATCACCTTTACTAAAAGCTCTATGATTGGTCAATGATTTGACTTTGATATATCTTGGAAAATGGCAGCTTCAGAAAAAAAAAGTTTTGTCCTTTTGATCGATGCTAAAAGCAAGACTCAGAGTGGTTCGAAGCGAAAGGGAAAATAACGAAATTAAACTGTGACAATTATAAATAAACATGACTGACATAAGAATCTGATTGTTGTTGCCATAATGGAGATGATCTAGCGAGAACTCCCATTGGCAACAATTCGCCCAGAGCTCGATCCATGCCCAACTCATCTACACCTGCGCGTTGTGGAAACCTATACAAATGAGTTCATTGCGTGGATCATTTAGTTCATGAAAAAAAGACTAGTGTCTGGTATCTGCATCTTCGCACAATATCCGCAATGAAACGGAGAGAGCAAACCTTCGTACAAAAGATTCCCTACACGCAATCTTCCTCGAATCCAGAAGGCTCGGTTGCCGTATCCATAGCAACAGTGAACCCCTCGTAGAATCGATTAAACGTCCTCATGACGTAATCCCCGGTCTTGCCAGTCGGTACATACTAACAGAGAGAGGCTATCCACTCATAGTTATACACTAACTTCCTCGATCTTTCGACGAAAATCTCCGCGGATCCAAAGGAAAGACTTCCTCCCTCTCCCGTACCGCGTACGAATCACAAACATGTTCCTCCTGGGCTCCCCAGGCCCCCTATCCCCTCGTCTCCACTTCACAGCGCCCCTTGTCGGTCTCGGGACACTTGTCGTGGTGTCCCGCTCCGTGTCACAACACTCCCTGCACCGACTCGAGTGGCTTCTTAGGGCGCCATAGCGACTACTCGCTGCGTGCCCCTGGCTGTCTTGACTGGCTGTTTTCGCTAATCTGTCCATGGTTCTTTGGAGATGCTTCATTTTCTTCCTTTGCCAATCTACATGCTCATACGATCTTAAGATGTATAAAAGAAGCCCTGGGTAATATGTCTCCATATAGAGGACAAAATATAAACGATGTAGTGATCAAGACACAAGAACGATTATTTTGCAAACTAAAAAAGGGTATTTGACCAATACCAAGGAGCGAGTGTCAACGAAAAAAAGAGAAAAAAGCTGTGCATCTATTTCTGCGCACATCACGGTGAGGTTTAGTATCCGCTCCGTTCACAAGTACCCCCTCACCGGCAAAGGAAGTACAGTTGGGGGTGACCGACCGACGCCATCTTACCTGACTGCAATTCATTTGCCGCGAAGCGCGGCCACTGCGTGTAAATAGAACAAATCCCCTGGTGTACGCGCGTCACACACAAGGAACGGTGCGCGTCAACCAGCGAAAAGTCCCGCCCACGGGACTGTCGTTGTTAGGTAAAAGGGCGCCCTCTTTTGGTAGCGCACGGAGCTCATAGTGGAATCATCTGATGTAGAATAAAAAGACTAGATCGGCAGTGCGTGCGCGTGGCCTTGCCTGGAGGGTCACGTGCTGGAGGACAGATATAACAAAAAACGCGCGCCAAACGTGACGAACGCAATGCCGTTTACGTGCACAATGCGCTGTGCATCGCACCCAGTACCCGATTTCATGAAACTCACGATGCATCGCGGCGCTGCAACGTGTCATCATATAGAATAAAACGTTCTATATCTATGCGTGTCATATCTACGATGCGTCCCAGCTGCGACGCGTCCTGTGATCCATTTCACAAAACAGGTCGTGAGTGCAACGCGTCGTAGGTGTATTTATAGCACAACTCGGTGACTGTTTAATGTATATTTCAGCGTACAGTAAAATTAATAGTCGTATTTTTCAGCGTACAGTAAAATTAATAGTCGTCTGATATTCAACAAAGAGTCGTCGGATCTCCTCTAGCTAGCTCTTGAAAAGGTTTTAAAACGTCAAACAAAATGGCGGACAGGTGATGCAGTTTTAAAGGAAATAAGCTCTCCGTGGACTTTGAAATGGAGTTTACTATTTTGAAATTTAAAC